ATTTGGATGCCTTTGATTTCCCTTCTTGCCTTTTGCCTTAGCTAGGTCCAATACAATGTTGAATAGAAGTGGTGATAGAGCGCATTCTTGTCTATTTTCAGTTTGCAAAGAGAATGTTTTCAGTCTTTCTCCATTGAGAATAATGTTGGGTGTTGGTTTTGCGTAGATGTCCTTTATTATATTGAGGAATGTCCCTTCTATTTGTATTTTGCTGAGAGTTTTGATCAGTAATGGGTGTTGGATTTTATCAAATGCCTTTTCTGCATCAATTGATATGATCATGTGGTTCTTCTCCTTTGTTTTATTTATATGGTGGATGACATTAATTGTTTTTCTAATGTTGAACCATCCCTGCATATCTGATATGAACCCTACTTGGTCATAATGAATGATTTTCTTGATATGTTATTGGAGTCTATTGGCTAGGATTTTGTTGAAGTTTTTTCATCTATATTCATGAGGGATATTGGTCTGTAGTTTTCCTTTTGAGTGATATCTTTGCCTAGTTTTGGTATCAAGGTTATGTTTACCTCATAAAATGAATTAGGGAGTATTCCATCCTTTTGTGTGGTTTGCAACAGTTTGAGTAGGACTGGTGTCAGTTCTCCTCTGAATGTCTGATAGAATTCTCCTGTGAAATTGTCTGTGCCAGGACTTCTTTTTTTGTTGGCAATTTTCTTATGACCTCTTCACTTTCTTCTTTTGTTATACATCTGTTCAACTTCTCCACATCAATCTGTGTTAGTTTAGGCAAGTAGTGAGTTTCTAGAAATCTGTCCATTTCTTCCAGATTTTCAAATTTGTTGGATAGTTTTGCCAGGTATAGAATTCTTGATTGGAAATTTTTCTCTTTCAGGGATTTATATATACTATCCCATTGCCTTCTTACTTGCATCATTTCTGCTGAGAAATCAGAACTTATTCTTACTGGTTGTCCTTTGTAAGTCACTTTTTGTTTTTCCCATGCTCCTTTCAGGATTCTTTCTTTGTCTTTGGTTTTGATGAGTTTGATGATGATATGTCTTGGTGATTTATTTTGGGGTCTATCCTGTTTGGGGTTCATTGGACTTCCTGAATGGATATATTCTCATCTTTCATCCAATCAGGGAAGTTATCTTTCAAAAAATCTTGGACAATTTTCTCAGTGGTTTTCTTTTTCTCTTCCTGTTCTGGAATTCTGATTACATGTAGGTTATTCCTTTTGATGGTACCCCATATGAACCTTAGGCTTTCTTCATTTTGTTTTGATCTTTTTTTCTGATTGATCCCTTTCCAAAGAAGTATTCAGGTATTTGTCTTCAATATCATTACTTCTGTCTTTCATTGATTTGATTCTATTCCTTTGCACTTTCAATGTGTTATCTACTTCTGAAAATTTAATATTAATCTTCTGGATTTCTATCTGTAGATTTTGTATCATTTCTAATGTTTCATTTATTTTGTAATTTTGTTCTTGTATTTTCTTCCAAAGTGCTCTAGGATTTTGTCTGTATTTTCCTTAATTTTGTCAGTGTTTTCCTTGATATGTCTCTCAATCCTTTAAAGATACCTAAATATAATTCTTTTGAATTCCTTATCAGGAAGTTCCAATGCTGCTTCTTCCTCAAGGATGTGTTCTGGGTCTGTATGATGCTCCCTTGTCTCGACTACTTTATCTTACTTTTTGTGTGGACTCTGATGGTCTGTTGTCTCTGAGACATTGTGACATTGTTGTTTTTAGACCTCTGTTAACTGATTGTGAAGAGGAGCTAAGGGTGAGTCAGGCTCTTCTTGGTGGTTGTTTATGGTTGGCCAGTTGGTGGATAAGGAAGTGGTGGCTCTCACTCAGTAAGTGAAGCTACAGGAGTTGTGGGTTTAATTGTGTCATATGTGCGCTATTGCCATCCCCTACTCTGTTAAACAAAAATAACAATTGAATAACCATCAAAAAAGTAAAAACAAGTGGACAAAAAGCACAGAATTGTTCTGATTTTTCTTTAAAAACCTTAATAAAGCATTTTAAAAATTGATTGCATGTTTTTGACACACAAGATTACATATACTTGGGCATTACTAGACTTATTTGGCTCCCCAATTTAGTTCTATCATGTGACGAAATAGTGTGACATGAGGAAGCTTATTGCATTTTCGGCTACAATCTTGTAAAGGATGTTCATGAATGCCTGTTCCAGAAGAGTTGAGTAAGGAGTTAAGTTGTGTTTCTGTGTGAGCAAAAGCCAAATACAGAAAATAACAATAACTAAAGACAGAAAAAAGGAAAAAAAAGTACACAATATCTGGGGAGAAAGCAATGAGAGAAAATAGTTAGAGAACAATAGGAGAACAATGGAGGAAAAAAATGGAAAAAAAAGAAAAAAGAAAAAACAAGGAACAGGGTTAACTACAAGAAAGAAAAAAATTTGAACCAGGAACAAGGAAGAGAGAAAAATCTGAAAACTAGAACTTGGGAAGAGAAGAACAAAGAATAATAATAAAAAGGATAATAATAATAATAATAATTTTAAAACAGACAAAAACAAATAAATTAAAAAAGAAAGAGGAAAAAAAAATCTGGGCAGAGTGAGGCAGGACACCCAGGCTCCATCGGAGCACACAGACTGGGATGGAATTCCTGCCAGCTCAGAAGGTGGGTGGGAGTGACACCTCCTTTCACCAAGATGGTGTCGAGTATAAGAATAACAAGGGGAATATCATACCTTTCCAGTTGTTGGCATCCAGAATATCCTTGCAGTTCCTGGCAAATGGAGCCTATTCTTAAATTCCTGGAAACTAGGAGAATGCTGGCACTTTACATATCTAGAATGGTCAAACTGCTTGTAAACATTCAAAATGGTTGTGCCCTGTGGGTTGTGCAAAAGTCCACAGCTCAGTTCAGCCTGCCTTCCTCTTCACTGCTTCCCCTTTTATTCACCAGCACCAGTACAGTCCTCTGTGCAGTCCCTGCCTAGCAGGGCTGATTTTTAAGTTAATTCTTAGGTCCTACCACCACTCTGCAGTCTCCAAGCTGTCTGGGCCATCAGGATTACTGTCAGGCCACAGCTCTGTATATCTCCTCTTTGGTGTTTTCATGCAAATTCTTCTACTAGTTGTTTAGTCCACTTCTATAGCCTTCCCTTCAAAGCTCAGGGCTCCAAGATTATCTTCTGTGTCTGTGTTAATTGGGTCCCTTTTTCTTTGTTAAAAAGGGTCTGTGCAGTCTTTCTGCCTATTCTACCATCTTACTGGAACTCATATAATATAGTTTTGCACATAAACAGAAAAAAATACATTTTAACAATAACTTGTCACTTAAGACGTTAAGTATTGCCTTCAACTTCAGAGAAAAATAAGGTATGCGGTATTTCCCATGAATAACTACTGAAATTTTCCTTAGACTCCTTTCCAAAAAAACCATACTCACTGCCATCAAGTTGGATGCAACTCATAGCAACCCCTCTTTGGTTTTCCAAGGCAGTATCACTACAGAAGTAGATCACCCAAGCTTCCTTCCAAGGAGTAGCTGACGGGTTTGAACCACACCAGCCTTCTGGTTAGCAGTCAAATGCCTTAGGCACTACTTTACATACATTTTTTTCCAGTAAATGATAATATAACAAAGGTTAACCCCTGCCCAAAACAAGCATCTCTGGAAACCAAATAAAGTGATTTTTGAAATGAATATGATTATATTATACAGAAATATCAATATAATTCATATCATGGATATGCTGCTTTGGTTTTAACTTCCGAGCAAAGACAGGGGCCAAATATTGCAGTGCTAATCTAACTATCTCTTCTGACTGTTTTTCACTTTCTCCTTTCCCTTTCTTTCCATGACTAAAGTTTAACTTACTCTATTGTAAGGAAAAAACAAAAAGTATGTTTCACCATTATCACACTTTCCTCCTGAAATTAGTGTGTGAGTAAAAACAGTTTTAGCCATCTAAGAAACTCTAGAAGCAAATTCTTAAAGAGTAGAAACTGAACATTTCTACAAAGTGTTTCTGTGTAACAGAACATAGTTAAACTATTGATGACCTTGCTTGTCTATGTTACTTAGTGACCTTCTTCCTGTTCACCAAAAAAAAAAAAAAAAATGCTATAAATATTAATTTACTCTTGACCTTAAGTCATGAAAAAAATAGTGAAGTATTTGTTCTGTTTTCTCTTTAAAAAACCCTAATAGAGCATTTAAAAAATAGATTGCATGTTTATTGATACACAAGATTACACATACTTCAGTCATTACTAGACTCATTTGGCTCCCCAATTTAGTGCTATCATGTGGTAAATATTGTGATTATGAGGGAGCTTATTACATTTTCTGCTGCAGTCTTGTAAAGGATGTTCATGAATGCCTATTCCAGAAGAGCTGATTAAGGAGTAGAGTTGTGTTTGTGTGTATGTCTCTGTGTGTATAATAGAGAAAAAGAGAGAGAAAGAGAACATGCATGTGAGACAGAGGAATGACATTTTAGGATCAGTAGATCCTGCTCACCTCAGGAGAAAACAAAAACTACCTGATAACTCCTGGAGTTTATACCTATAAGTAGTTGCCATTCATTAGTACAATTTAATGTTCATGAAATGGAAAGCTTTTTCACAGAGGTATCTTGATAGCAACATGTGGTGAAACTGAAATGTACAGTTTACCCACAGATCTGACAAACTGTCCAGTCTTACACTCAATGCCATCCTACATGTGAAAAAAAAAAAAAAGAAATAAAGAAAAGGAAAATGTATATATGTGAGTAAAACTGGCTCCTGAAATACTCCCTTTGTACTAGGGTAAATTAATGCTTGCCTTTGGTGATGCCAAGCAGATTTTCAATTGTCCTATAGGTTTATCCTCAACCAAAGTTCAGTTTAGTGCTACTATCAAAAATAATGCTTATATAGTTAAGGACAGTCTTCTGTGGTCTTTAAGACAAAGTATAAAAATAATGAACAAAGGTTATCAAAAGAGGTGAATAAAATGGCAGGTTCACTCTATAAATATTAATGTATTCTGCTGTCTACAGCATGAAGATGACCATACTCAGTTTTATCTGAACCAACTTCTGGAATATATGCATATTTGGAAAGTATCCAGGTAAGGTATTTTATTTTTCTTCCAGTCTACATCCTGACTGAGTTCTTAAATGCTAAATCACAATATTTTCCCATTGATTGTAAAAGTTATCTTTTCATAAGTACCGTGGAAGCTATTGTACTTTAATAGATGCCTTCCTTTGGCAAATTCCATTAATAATTATCTATTCTTCACAGCTATTCTGATACATTTGAAGAACTGTTAACACCTTCCAGAATAATCTAACATTCATTTTTAAATATTTCTGCTCCTGGTTATTACATTTTCAAGGATTTTTTTGTTTTCTCATTCATTTTGTGAATTTGAGTGTGCATGTGTCATAATCTCTTTGTATAACTGAGTTTGCATAACTTGAAAGTCACCATCTCCTGTTTTATATTTATTCCTGGAAGTCCCGGTGAGTAACTTGTATGCCGTAAACACAGAAGTGTGAATCCAAATAAGAAAAATCAAATGACAGCAAATATATATGCCCTAATTGATTATGATATTTAAATGTATGCACATATTGTTTGAAAGAATAGACTTAACAGGAAGCTAAACCAGGAAAAGATATCAGTGCTATGGTTTGAGTTCATCTGGAACTAAAGCTATCCTAAGTGAACCAGCAAAAGAAAGAGAGAGAGAGAGAGAGAGAAGGGAGTGTATAGATCATCAATCTCTAAAGCAAAGCTTGACTTAAAATATAAGATGTGATAAAATGTTAGTGAATAAGAGCTATCTCTTCTTAGAGCTTATACATTTTGCATACATTATCTCATCTAATTCTCACTGCAACCCTATGATACTTCAGAATTGAGGAAACTGAAGTCCTGGAAGGTTAAATAACTTCCCCAAAGCTACACAGGCTATCAGTGTCAGGACTGAAATCAGATCTCTCAGAAATTCACTTCAATTATTTTATTCTACTTTGATCAAAATTCACTGTTAATAGAGTCAGCAGTCAAGAAATCAAATAATAAAATTGCATCAGATAAATCTGTGATAAAAGAAATCTTTAAAGTGTTCAAAAAGCAAAGATGTAATTTTGGTGACTAAGACGTGCCTGACTCAAGCTGTGGTCTTTTCATTTGCTTCATATGCATGTGAAAGGTGGGCAAAAACAAAGACAAAGAAAGACAGAAGAAGAATTAAGACATTTTGGATTGATATGTTGGTGAAGAATATTGAATGTATACTGCCATAAAAATGAACAAATAAGTCTTAGAACAAATACAACACCAATACAACAAGAATGATCCTTAAAAGCAAGGATGGTAAAACTTCAGCTCACTTACTTTGGACATGTCATCAGGAAAGACTAAATGAAAAGCACATCATGTTTGGTAAAGCAAAGAGCCATTGAAAATGAGAGAAACCCTCAATGAGATGGATTGATACAGTAGGCCCAACAGTGGACTCAGACTTAACAATGATCATGACTATGGCACAAGACTGCAATGTTTAGTTCATTTATACATAAGATCCCCATGAGTTGCAGCCAACTCAGCATCAACCAACAACAATGGCCCTCACTGGCATCTGTGGGTTTTGCAAATGTGCCTGGGAACAAGTCCACACAGAATGGAAGAAAGTCCTGGAAATCTACATCCAAAACATCAACAATTTGAAATCCTATGAAGCACAGTTCTACTCTCACCATTGCTATGAGTCAGTCCACCATTATGGGATTGGAGCAAAGGGATGGAGGAGTTAAGTCTGAGGCTACTCTGTGCCTTCCAGGTCTGCTTTACTCTTGGTTTACTAGTTCCTAGTAGTGTTTCTACAAAATACAATGCCTGATAGCAAAGTGCTGAAGCAGATGCACTTTGAAGGGTCTTTTTCAGTTTTAGTATCAGCCTTGATATAAAAATCCCCACTCCCCATCTTTTGCTATTCTTTTCCTATCCCTCTCTCTTAGTTTCATATTATATTGTAACAGAAATACTCCAAGCAGATGACTTTAAGGAACAGAAATTTATTTTCTCATAGTTTAAGAGGCTGAAAGTCCAAATTAGGGTCTTGGCTGTGTGGATTCCATCTATGTGCCTCTCCCCTACTTTCGGATGACTTCTATTAATCCTTGGTGTTCCTTTGCTTGAAGACAACCTTATATGCCATCTATGTGTTCTTTCTTTGTGTCTAATCTGTTCTTTTTATAACATAGAAATGATTAGAGTTAGAACTCTTTCTACTTGTGTGTGGTCTAATTAACATAACAAAGAAAATCCTGTTTCTAAACAGAATTATGTCCACAGGGATAGGGGTTAAGATTCCAACACATAATTTGAGGGGACACAATCCAATGCACAGTATAATTCAATGCATAGAATTCCACTGAATTTTACATATTCCATTTATTTGGTCTTTGAACTAAAAGATGAATTTCAACTACAGTAAAGATATAATAAAAGATGGGAAAACAACCACTATAAAACATACTGACTTTTTTTTTTAATGCGGCTTTGTGTTGTGTGACTCATTATTCAGCTTAATTTCACAGTCTTCATGACAAATAGGAAGGGACAATCAGTAATCGTTGTGAAAGTAGTTTAGAACAATGAGGCCTAGAAGAAGCTGCTCAAGTCATGTCTGTTCCACTTAAAACACAAGTAAAGCTGCAGCAATAAGAGACAGTTAGGAAGGAAAAACTCAGAGATTTGATGGTAGAGACAAGCCCATCTATTATAGACATATGCCATTAATTCTGAATGTAATTCTCCATAGGATTTTGCATATTTGACATGTCTTATTGTTATTTTTTGCCATTATCTGCTTATTAATCCCTTTGCAACTTAAATTTTGAAGTAAGAGTATCTATAACAATCAGCCTTTGAGAGGTTTGATTAATTAGCCATGGCTTTCTTTTGACTTCTAAAATTTTCAGATATATTTATGATATATGAAGTGATAACTTTATAAGACACCCATCTGAGATGTTTTTAAAAATATATCAACAGTAATCCTTTTCATAACATGCCTACTATAGAATCACGGGCAAAATAGAACTCGTGGTAAATGTGGTAAAGATAATATTTTCCCACCCAATTTTGACTTTTTTTTTTCTTTTTTAGACAATGCCTCTCAACAATAATACAAAGATATGACTTCCACCTGCAATACTTTTTGAAAACCCAGGTATTAACTTTTGTAACTTCATCCATCAATTCAATAAACATTTATTAAGCATCTGCTGTTACTCTAAAACTTAGCAATTTTCTAAGATTAATAATAATAATAATAATAATAAGTAAAGCAGAGAGCCTACACCTCAGGGGTTTTCATTCTATTATGGCAAGACAGACTAGTAGAAAGATATATGCAGTAACAACAGATGTAGTGAAACACCTATGTGTATATAGGAGCTGGCTAATAAAAATTCATTATATGTTTGTCTTCAAGAGAAGAAGAATAGTAGAGGTAGGTGGGGAGTTGTTGTTGTCGTTATGTGCCCTCGAGTCAGCTCCGACTCATAGTGACCCCTCCTTGGGTTTCCAAGGCAGTATCACTACAGAAGTGGATTGCCCAGCCTTCTTTCTGAGGAGTGGCTGGTGGGTTTGAACCACCAGCCTTCTGGTGAGCAGTCACGTGCCTTAGGCACTATGCTACCAGAGCTCCCTTGGTGAGGAGTAGGGGTAGCTTTCTGGCAAAGAACAACGTGAACATAAGCAAAGAGTCAGGAAACAGCCTGGTGTGACTAGAAAACTATATGAAATTTGGAATGGCTACACATAAGGATCAAGGTGAGAACTTCAAATGAGACCAAGTGAAAGGAGCAGGCAAGGACCAGGTTATGTAGACTCATATGGACCTCTATGGAGAACTTTAATGTTTTTCTAATTTATTAGCTGATAACTTAGAGCCATTATGTAGGACAGTAGAATAACTGAGAGATGATTACAAGAGCATTCCATTACCCTTAAGAAATGATGGGAGCTCTGGTAGCATAGTGCCTAAGGCATCTGACTGCTAACCAGAAGGCTGGCAGTTTGAACCCAACAGCCACTCCTTGGAAGGCAGGTTGGACAATCTACTTCCATAGTGATACCACCTTGGAAACCCAAGGAGGGGTCATTATGAGTTGGACACGACTCGACAACAGGGAGTTTGGTTTTGGGTTTGGTTAAAGAGATGATGAGGACATGAACTAAAGCTTTAGTATAGGGATGAGGGGTTAGATTCGTGACATGTGAAAATGTATTATTATCATGATTTGGTAAACTGTGGCAACAGAGGAAGGGGTAGTCAAGAATAATCCCAATTCTTTCCTGCTGAATGATTGCAGGGGAAAATCAATTTGCTACAGTAGAAGAATAAGAGAAAATAATGGCTTCTGTCCAATGCTACTGAGGTTTAGGCACTTACTGGACATCCAAATTGTGGTTGCTATTAGACAAATCATTTCATATAACTTGTCCTTTCAAAAAGGGGTTAGCTGTCTGCAGATAAAGCATCATACTACTAAAGAAAATTGTATATTTTAAGATAGGTCAGAACTTAGTTTTCTTAATTAATGGGCACCTGAGATATACACATGTATACACACACACCCACACACATTTCAAGACACTATTCCTCATATTATTAAATATATATTAATGATATCTGAAGTTAATAAATTATATTTCCTGATGTTGATACCAAACTCATATGTGAACTCCACATAAATACATAAAGACATGGGCATGACAAACATATGACTTACATTCCTTCCATAAATGTAACCATTTTCCTTTCCTAGACTCTGGCCTGAATCTAGAAGAATAAAATGTGGAATGGGAAAAGAATCCATAATTAGGTTGCTTTTGGTCTCATGAAAATGACATAATTAGTGTACCTCTCAGCTTGATCCTTTACCCTTGTGATGCTTGCTCTTTCTAGGGTAGAATTTAGAATTTACCAGTATTGAAGACACATTAAAACTTCATTCCTATATCATTTATATCTCTTGACTATAACTAGATAAGCCTTTGAGGTTGTGTGCCTTTGAGTTCATCTACTTGGATGAACTTTAGCTATCCAAATGTCCCAGTACTGTTTTGTAAACATCTTTTTTTTTCACACAAAACAAAAAAATGTTGAGAACTGTGATGGTTCTTAATTTTCAAATGCAGAAGCTTGTTCATATTACTCATATATGAAACCTCCAATATATCTACTTTGAAAGAAACCATTGACTATATAAAATTTTCCAATATGATTTAGAAGCTGGCAAAACACCAAAGAAATATCATCATTTCACTATCACTAGAAAATACCAATCATTGCTCAGACATGGATTATTTAATCAATAAGCCACAGTGTCTGTGAATTTCCTTATGAACTTCATCCCAAACAACTAGCTTTTTAAGTGCTTGCTAGGAACCGTCAATAGCAAGTATCTGAGAACTGAGGACAGCTTGTGATATTATCAGTTCACAATGTTGTACTTTGTATTTATTTGACAAGTATATTAAGCAGCCTTTCCCTAAAGTCTTAGACAGTATCAGTTTGAAAAGTAATGTTTTTAAAATCATCACTCTCAAAGTTGGAGAATTATACAAATTTAACAAAATAACAAACATGCAAGCTGAATATATACCACATGAATATTATTAAATAATATGGATATTTTAGGAGCTCTGGTAACGTAATGCCTGAAGCACTTAACTGCTAACCAGAGGGCTGGTGGTTCAAACCCACCAGCCACTCCTTGGAAGGAAGATGGGGCAATCTACTTCCGTAGTGATACTGCTTTTGTCACTATGAGTCAGGTCCAACTCAACAGCACATAACAACAACAACGGATAATTTAAATTTCTATTTTTTTTCCTTCCTCAGTATGATTTATCTTAGACTTGACTTATACCAGGTTGGACATAGTGTTCATTTTACTGCCTTAGAAACCCAAGGAGAGGTCCCTATGAGTCGAAATCTACTCGACAGCAGTGAGTTTGGTTTGGTTTTGGAGTTTCTAGGCAGTAGTTCCTGGTAGTATAGTGCCTAAGCATTTCACTGCTAAGCAGAAGGCTGGTGGTTCAAACCCACCAGCCACTCCTCGGAAGGAAGATTGAGTGATCTACTTCTGTAGAGATACTGCCTCAGAAACCCAAGAAGGGGTCACTATGACTCAAATCAACTCCACGGGAGTAAGTTTGGTTTTGGACTTTTTTGTGTTTTGTTTTTTGTTTTTTGTTTCTATGCAATTTACATACAGCCTCATTATTAGCAAAAAACAAACAACAACAAAAAATAACTCTATTCCACTAATCCCCTGAAATGTAAGATATACATTCTGTATTCATTATCCCTGTCAATAGCAAGGATCATGGGCCTGGCACAGGACTGGGCAGTGCTGTGCATAGGGTCGCTATGAGTCAGTGACAACTCCATGCCACCTAACAACAACATTCATTATCCCCAATTCTTTATCCAATTCATTATCTCTAATTTAGGAAAATAAGGAATTACAAAAAAGAAAAGTTATCCTCAAAAGTATTACTGAATGCTTGCTTCATGCAAATTACTGAACTATTTACTCACTGGAACCATGCTCTGAAGTGGCTAATGATCTAGTTGGAAAACAACATAGCCACATAAAACATGTACATAGAACCGAACAAAACCTAACTCACTGCTTTGGAGTCGGATCCAACTCACAGCAACACCTTCTTGGGTTTCTGAGGCAGTATCACTATGGAGATACATTGCCCAATCTTCCTTCCGAGGAGTGGTACATAGAGTAGAATGTAAACTGAGCAAAACAGTGTAAAATCAGATCTCAACACAGGTGAAAGATTCACCTTCTGATTCAAAATTGCTTCTCTTTGTTGTTGCTTTGTGCTGTGGTAGCTTCCAAAACACAGGTTCCAAAATGCTTATTAAAGTGCAATAGAGGACCTTTAGAGAAATTACCAATACTACTGATGGCAAACTTACACCAGAATCTGGTGACTGTGAACTCATTATGCACTAGATGGATCTTGATTGAGAAGAATCGATTTATGCTTCAAAGAGTGGTTTTGGTTTATTGAGCTAAATACCTCTCAACCATTTTGTCTTAGTTTGTTAGTGGTGCTGTAACAGAAATACCCTGAGTAGATGACTTTAACAAAGAGACATTTATTTACTCACAGTTTAAGAGGCTAGAAGTCTGAATTCAGGGCATCTGCTCTAGAGGAAGGCTCTGTCTGTACACTCTAGCGGAAAACTCCTCTCAGCTTCTCTAGAGATATTTCAGGTGTTTCTTCAGAAAGTTCTTCATAAAATCTACCTTTCCCTGTTTGGGTTTGCTTGCTTCTGTGCCTAATCTGTTCTTTTTATATCTCAAAAATTGTTAGGTCTAAGACACAGTCTTGACTGCTCTTACCTTCTTAATAAGACAGGGAAAACTCTATTCCCCAATGGGACTACATCCATAGGTACAGGGGTTAGGATTTATGACAAATTTTTGTAGGGACACAATTCAATTCATAAACTTTGTATCACACATCCAATGATTCAGAGGCTATACAACTGTATAATCAGGAGAGTATGCCACACTTAAGACAGAGGTTTAAGTAACTTAATAAAGAGTGCAGAGCAATATTTTTCTCACACTGGTCTCTTCTCAAGGCCCAAATCCAACTATAATCATCCAGGCAGAACCTGAAAATTCCATATGTAAGTAAAAAGAACGGGAGTCATAGAGATTTATAAGATATGTTAAAACTGAAGCTCTCTTAGAAACAAGAAAATCTATTGTTAGATTTTCAGAAATATCCATTTCAAACATAATTTAAATGGGAAGTATGGAACAGAATTGAGGATCAGACAGTACCAAATCAGGTGCATAAATACACCAGCCTTCTATCATTACAGGTTTTTCATTCAACCTTTCTAAAGTTCATGTTGTTCCTGACTAGAGCAGAGAATATGAAATATAATGTAATGATATTAAAGAAAAAAAGAAATAATAGATACAGGGACTGGAAAATAAGTGTTCAAGAAAAGCCAAGTACAGAGTGCTATTTTATTGCTAATACTGCTACTAATTTTATCGCTATTACTAAAGTACAGGATTGTGTAGGATCTAGAACAAAATATCACAAAGCTGTTTTTGCATTCACAACAGAATATAAGAAGAGATGGGAATGGAAGAAAAGAAGAAAATAGAATAA